AATAAGATAAAGTGAGGATGAGATAAGGAAAAAGTGAAGGAGGCGATAGCGGAGACACAGCAGAAAGAAAAAATAAAATAAAAAGAGTCAGAGTAAAATACCAGGACACAGGACACTCACATGACACACGCGACAGGCGCACCGCCCACTCCTTCGCTCCTCCTCCAGCTCCTTCACCCGCGCCCTCAAGGCCTCAACCACGGCGCCGCCGCTGCTGGCGTTGCTGTTGTTATTGCTACAGACAGGGAGGCTGCTGGTGCAGGGACCGGTGCTGCCGAGGCCCTCGCTGAACTTCCTGTCCGGATGCGAAGCGCGGTCTGCGCGGGGCGAAGGCGAGCGACCGAGGGAGTGCGGGTCACCTGAAGCATTCAAGGATAGCAGGGCTGTCAAGACGACGCTGGATGACCAACATCAGCAAATAAATCAGCGAGTAACTGAATGTAACGAACATCTAAACATTTTTTTCGGAACGATATATTAATTTATCATGAACATACGCGTGGAACGACACTTCAGCAAATGTATTATTCGGCATGAATGAAGCATAAATGCATGTGACAATATGAAGGGAAATGGACTCGGAAAGCACAAACATGTACACAGGCACCCATCCGCTTGACACTCTCGCTCGCCTCTTTCGTATAAGCGCGCTGAACTGAGCCTGTCATAGTCTCTCGCACCATGCGTCAGCATCTCTCTGTCTGTCTGTCTGTCTGTCTTTCTGTGTGTGTGTGTGTGTGTGTACCAGATTGTTGTCTCACTCGCTCACTCACTCTCTCTCTCTGTGCGTGTGTGCGTCTCTGTCAGTCTCCTTCTGACAGAAGGAGACTGACAGATTTATCTCCCTGCCTCTTCATCTCTCTATCTCTTTCTCTCCCTCCTTCTCTTTCTACCTCCCCCTTTCCTCCCTCCCTCCCTCCAAGCCCGCAGCGCAGGGCGCCCGAGGGCCAACCGACCTGCTGCCTCTTCCTCCGCGCAGCCCGGGTGGTCCCCGAGGGCGACGCTCTCTTCGCAGGTGCTGGGCGCGGCAGGGGGGCGTGGGCGGCGACAGCGAGGACTCCGAGACCGCCATACTCTCGCAGCTGTTGTTCAAGGAAGGGGGGGATATAAGAAGACGTGAGTGTTTAGGGTGGCAGCATAGGAAAAGTTTTTTTTTCTCTTCTCGTTTTCTTTCGCCACCTTTCTCTGAAGAGGGAAAGGGAAGGGAGAGGAGCGAAAGGGATATTTACTTTATGCTCAATATACGTTCATCCTCCATCCTCCATCCCAGTCACACCTACCTCGTATTATGCATCTGCGGGTCGTCTTGGCGGTCGTTCTCCTGGCCCTCCTGGTGGTCTTCGCCTAGGTCGTGGCGAGGCGCAGCAGGTGCGAGTCGTCGTACTGCGCGGCCCGAAGGCGTCGTCGGCGTCGTCGCACACGTCCACCATCTCATCCTCGCTGCCACGCTCCACCTTCGTGCCCAGAGCTGGGGGGGGGGGGGCACGGGGAAGGGGTAAAAGGTGTGTCAGTGCGCGGGCAATTCCCTTCGGACTGTTGGGTCCGGCTTAATATTTGCTTTGTATTTGCAGTGCCTCTTTTATTCAGCTTTTTGTTTCTTCGTGAAATCGCAAAAAAGTTCTCCCTCCATCTGCCTTCTCCCTCTCCCACCCTCGCCCTCGCTCGCCCTCCCGCACTCACCGTGCAGCTGGCCCTCCCGCACTCACCGTGCAGCTGGCCCTCGGCCCGGAGCATCTGCGTGGCGCGCACCCGGGTCTGGCCGCACCACTCGTACTCCTCGTACTGGTCGTCCGCGTCGCCCTCCACGTCCACCTCCTCGTCCTCGAACTCCACCTCGGCCTGCCGCCAAAGGGGAAGGGGAGAGAACCGGTGAAACAGGAATAAGAAGAATTGGCAAGACATTTTTATGAACTTATTTTTGATTCTCCTGACCCCTTTCTCTTTCATCTCAAACTGTTCCAATCACATTTTCTCCTCTGTAACTTCCCTTCACAGCTCACTTGCACATCTCTTCTATCTCCCTTTCTCCTCCCTCTCCGTCTTCCTTTCCTCTTCCTCCTCCTCCTCCTCTCCTATCACCACACCCTCCTGTAGTTTCGCGTCTCAATAAAGCTCGACGGACCTAAAGTTAGCCTCCGCTCTGCCCTGCCGCGCCGCCGCCAGAAGGCCTGGCGAAAAATATATCGACTCGAGGAGAACCTAAAATAGCCGCGCTTCCTAGACCTTGCTCTTGCGAAGTTGCTGGGCAGTCTGATAGCAAAGGTGGAATTCTGGGTTATATTTAGATCTATGTATATGCGACAGAAATAATATTGGGGACGATTCGGGAGGAAGGAGGCGTTTGCCATCGACGGGGGCAGCGAGCGACAACAGAAGGATGATCCTTGGGTTTCCCGAACGGCCATTCGGTTTTTTTTCTCCGCCGTTTACACCTTTTCCTTCCATTTTCTCTCTCTCTCTCTCCGACCACCCACCTTCCTCAAACACCTCTCGATGTGGG